ACAACCGCGTATGCGGGCGAGGGAGGGGACAAGGTCTTGTCGCAGCCTTATGTCTCGCAGAAGAACCGGACGTTCAAGACTGAGGTGCCAATGTTCGTGAACACTGGCAGCGGAGAGGTGCTGTACTTTGATATTGTGGAGTGGGCGGAGAAGATGAAGGAGGCGGGTAATGATCTTCAATTGGATATTGAGGAGAATGTCCCTCATGATATCCTTCTTCTTGGTCACCTCCTAGGGTTCAACCAGGAGGCTGTGAATATGGCTAAGCGGGCGGGCGAGTGGTTGAGGGGAAGGGTATGAGAAGCAGGGACTATCATACCCCACGGGGATTGCGAGCGGCTCCTCGGATGTACATCCTCTCATACAGTTCATCTAGCTCATGCCTTGTATCATTGGCCAATAATTATCTTTGGGATTCCCTGTTGTCGGCCCAGATGCTGTGCCGCCTTGTCATTACTATTTGCGGGGTGCCTTGCCGTTGTGGTGGCGGGCACACCTGGGCGTCAAGCACCAGCGCTAATGAGCTCTCCAATCGTCACCAGCCAAAATTGCCCCGCTTCACCGGAACGACGCATGAAAGCATCTATCTGCATTTCCAGCCTGCACGCTGCATGTCGGAAGTCCATCGCCGCCCCCTTATCGAATCATGAGTTGCCACAAGATAACACAGCCCCAGCCTGATCATGGCGGAGCCTGGACCGGCTGAGCAGGTCCACCACTTCGATCTATGAAGCCAAAGATGGCAGCGTCTCGCTCGGCCACGCCTCTGCGATCCATTCGAAAAATTCTGTATCAGGATGGCAGAAGGTCTGGCTGCCATTGGTCTTGCCGGAAACATCATCCAATTCATCTCTTTCAGCTTTGTTCTCGTGTCGAAGACCAGGGAATTGCATGAGTCCACATCGGGCTTATTGAATGAGAATATCGATCTCAAAATCATCTCCCAGGATATTAGTGCCTTAAGTAATGGTATAACTTCAAGCGCACGCTCGTCCAGACGACTATCCGAGATCGCTCATCATTGCGACACTATTGCGAGAGAACTTCTGGACGCGATTAACAGACTTAACAAGCAGCATGTGCCAGGATCTGGCAAAGTACCAACAAAATGGCAGAGCTTTCGCAAAGCTCTCAAGAGTGTGTGGGGAAAAGCGCACATTGAAGAGTTGACGTTGAGGCTGGCACGGCTCAGAGACCAGGTAAACATGCATCTGGTTTCTAACACGAAGTATTAGCCCTCGCCACTATTCAAGACGATATTTACTAATCACACTCCTAGTGACAATCAATTTCAACTGAAGCAATTGTTGGAAGATTGGAAGGACAAGAATATGCAGGCAGAGTACGAAATCACCGCACAGATTCAGGCCCTCGATCGTCAGCTCCAAGCTACTCAGGCACGCGTTCTAAATCTACAGGGCGATGCCTACTGGAAGAGGCTGCAGGATTGCTTTTCTCAGCTATCTTCGGAGATTCATCAAGTGTCTCAGTCTCATGCGATCATTGCTAGCCTCCGCTACGAGTGCATGCATACGAGACAGAGTGCGATTAGAGATGCTCACAAAAAGACTTTTTCCTGGCTTTACAGCCATGATGACCTAGACATCCTCGATGATTTGGATGGTCTTGATAACGCGGATAGCCTGGATGCACAATCGGGGACCGGGTTCGCAGAATGGCTGCAAGATGGCAGTGGAATATACTGGATTACAGGAAAGCCAGGTGAGTTGTGGTCGAATATACCTTATGAGACACTAGTCTTACGCCACGCAAGGGTCCGGGAAGTCCACGTTGATGAAATATCTTTTCGAGCATGACGATACCGTCGACAATCTGCGAATTTGGTCCGGAGATGCACCGTTGGTAAGAGCATGCTTCTACTTTTGGCTACCAGGTCAGCAGATGCAAAACTCTCTGGAAGGACTTCTACAAACACTTCTATATCACATATTACACGCCTGCCCCGATTTGGTTCCAGAGCTTTGTCCTGGAAGATTGGCTGCTCAATACCATCCCGACCTTCATGGCATCGCTTCGCCAATCCCTTGGACCCTTCTGGAGTTGCAAAGGTCGATCGCTCTATTCAAGACACAGACTACAGTGCGCACCAAGTTCTACTTCCAGGTAGACGGCTTAGACGAGTATTATGGAGATAGTTGGGACGTGATCGAGACATTGCGGGACCTGTCCACTGCTCCAAATGTCAAACTCTGCCTTTCAAGTAGACCTTGGAATTGTTTCCAGGACTCGTTTGGACGATCAAATCCGCATGTGCTCCGAATACACGAATTTACCAGACCAGACATTGAGCTATTTGCGTGGGAAAATCTGCTATCCGACAGTCGCTACATTGACTTCGAACCGACACTGTTTAATGATCTGGTACGGGATATCGGCGAACGAGCACAAGGTGTTTTCCTTTGGGTACGTCTCGTGGTCAAATCGCTTCGTAACGGCATCATCAACCAGGATCCAGTGACCATATTACAAGAGCGCTTGCAAGCGACACCATCGGACTTGGAAGAGTTCTTCGAGCAGATTCTGGCGTCGGTGGATGCGATATATCGAAGCAGAATGGCTTGGACGTTCCTCGTCGCTATGCGGAGTCCGCGTCAACTGAAATTGATACACTACTACTTTCTGGAACAAGAAGACCCAACCTTCGGATTCGATAAGCCCGACGAGATATGGTCACACTCTGAGATACAAAGATGTGCAATCAAGACCGAGAGACGGCTCAACGGTCGGTTCAAAGGTCTTTTAGAGGCCACCCCCTCGGTGGACATCACCGCGCAGACAGAAGTCGACTTCTTGCACCGTACCTTGAGCGACTTCCTCGCGACAAATCGCATGAAGGACAAGCTCCAGTCTTGGGCGTCGGAGGAACTTAATGTCTTCACTGCCATAAGCATGGCTTTGATTGCAGAATCAAAATTCATCGAGGAGAACCCCACTTTCCAAAATTACAAGATGGCCGTGGAACTGGCCAGCAAAGGCGCTATCGAGACAGGCGACACAACGCAATGCTTTCAGGTCATAGATCAAGCAGAACTAGGGAACGAGGCCATGAGACCATGTCATACTTGGTGCAGACTCAACTGTGACATCCTTCGGTTCGCGGCCTCGCTCGGGCATGCCGAGTACCTGAATTACCGGATGCACAAGGATGGTGCGCTTCTGGGCCTTGATCATATTCTCAAACATGATGTAATGGCTTCAGTTGCGCCTGGCGAATCGTATGCCTTTTGTCTGCCCTCTATCTCATCACTCCATGGCATTTCCAGCCAGTCTGGTAAGAGATTCCCCGGACTCTCATCAAACACAAAAGCGAACGCTCCTCTACCGTCGTTAGTGACGGTTCTCTTTGGACTTGGAGCTAATCCGAATACCATCGTGGATGGCGTCACCAGTTGGACTGCATTCGCGGACAGAGCAGCGGAACTGATGGACGGCGAACACGAAGAGCAATATTGGGAAATCTTCGGCATGTTCCTTGAGCAGGGTGTTGATGTAAACATAACTACTGGCAGCTGGATTGGCATGCTAAATCGGGCAAACGCGAAATCGGAGAACAAGATGCGGAACTTATCCAGATATTTCAAGCGTCTCTTCAGCCATCGATTGTGCCCGAATGCTACGTCACAGAGCACCACAATCACTACCGCTTTTGTAAGGACGCTAGCAAAGCACACTTTTGATGTTTCTACCGCTTCGCAACCCATTCAACACGACCTCTTACGAGAATTCCTCCGCAATGGGGCGGATCTTTCCGTGATATATCGCGACACATCCTCTTCCGGATGGTTTGAGAATTTGCACCAGGCTTTAAGTTCTCCAAAGAGCCTCAGAGACTCGCTCTCTCCACGAGTCGCGCAATACCGTATCTTTCTTGAGAACGGTCTGGATCCAAACATGGCCATGCACAATGGTTGTACGTTCTGGGAGAATCTTCTCATTGCCATGTATAGTGGCTATGAGCTGAGCGGATACAACGCAGGATGCAACAATATCGTTCGCGATATTTGCCTTGTCTCTTTGCAGTATGGGGCTGATCCTCATGTCTCTGTCATTCAATCAATATTGCGGGGGATGAATAACATCTCAAACTTCTGCGCAGGATCTCATCGCGCTGATATTCAACGAGCGCTGCACAAGGAAATTGATGGCAGAGAATGCCACACCAAGTCGCAAATTTTTGCGCAATCGAAAGATGGCGACCATCTGGGAATGAGTCACCTCATTCAGTCGGCAGACCTATCTCCATCGCCCCGGAGTCAAAAGTGCCAGGTCAAGAAACGCGATCATGGACAGGTCGGTCACGGCAGACAGGATTTACATTACAAACGAGTGCGGTTCGGCTAAGCCGCCACTGGTGATCAAGACTCATAAATCGCAATGGATGTGACTTCTCGATGAAGTCGGAACGACGTGCAGTGTTGAGTGACCCCATTTGCGTCGATATCATCTTGGTGTGTTAGTGAATGAACTTCTTGAAGCTTTTAAGACATCAAGGGAAGCATGATTAGAAACCTTCTGCTTTGTCTCCACTGGCCTTTTTACGACAGCTAGATTGAACACAGAATAGTATTGGTCTGCAAAAAAAGGATCGACTATATTCCGAAACTCTACCTGGGCTGGTTACAATAAACTACCCTGCCGCGATGTATACTACTTGTGCAAAGAGAGGAAACCCTTGAACGACTGCCATTTATTCTGCTGTTCCCCCTTGCTTCCCTGGATGTGATGCTGTCCTTCCTCAATTATCTTGCGGTCCCCGGGGGTACGAAAAGTCCTTCTTGCACTCTTCGGAAAGCCAGATATGCAATGCAAAGAAGACATAGGTATCGGCGTTGAGAGTGGGTCTCGTTTTATAATCTTTGCTCTCCTCTGTTTCCTTGTATTTGAGGCAATTGTAAGCGCCGTAAGCGAGATCATCCACCTGGGCACGGACCCTGTTCGTGTTGTCATTAGCAGTTCACGCTCAATTGTCGACAGCGTACTTACTGTCCCTCGCTGACTTTCCCGTAGTGCATGAACTCATGCAGCACATTTGCGCCACGATATTGACGTGTGGTAGTAGCCGTGTCGATATGATTCGCGATTGACGCGCAGTTGTTCGCCAGGAAGTCCGCCTTGTTCTTCCTGTCGAAGAACTTGTCGCAGTAATGCATGGATGGACCTAAGCCACCCTTTCTTGTCCGACTGTAGTATGCGGTCGCCGATCTTCCCTCTTTATCGATTTTGTCGCACCATTTTGGACTCACAGGCAAGTAATCGTCCTGCCAGACCGTCACACCGCTGAGGACGACGGAACCCTCACTATTTGCGTTGTCGCCCACAAAATTGGTCAAAACACCTCGAACGTCGTCATCGACCTCCCCGGGGTGCCCTTTGGGATCTCTACCAAACCAGGCGGTCAAATAGCCTCTGTATTTGGGATTGTCGAAGTTCTTCAACGCCACGACGGCGATATCAACGGCTTCTTTCTGAGCGTCTTGTAGGAACTTCCTACGCTCAGCAGACTCTATGTGCTCTACATTGAACAGAGTCCGCTTGTCGAGGCCGGGGTTAACCTTGAAGAGGTCTCGTCCCTGCACATCATCGGGATGGATAGGTTTGGCAGCAACGAGGCTTGAGAGAGGCGAAACTACAAGAAGTAGGGGTTTGATCAGTCTCATCTTGTGTTGCAAAGTGCTGTGTGCGTCGCCGGGGTCTGAATAGTTACTGATGAGTAAGTTGTCTTGCCTGGTATGATCGATGCTTTCCAGTGAGGTCTGTCTACGTTCATATAGTTTCTTTACCTGTCCTACTACTGCTGTGCCACGAATACACTGGCCCCCGTTGCTTTGATGACATCTCAATGCTTGCACGAAGTGTCCTCAAGAATGGCACCGGGAAACGATCATCTGGGGCCAATATGTCGGATCCATCATGTTTCATGACAGCAGATCATCGCTACGGCGCAGTGGTGGTATGATCTTTGCCCGGTCCCCTGACCGGACTCCGCTTCAGAGAGAGTCGTTTATGGGGGGCAGAAATCCCGGAACATAGGAGCTGGTCCGAGTTTCTGGTTTGACAGCACTGTTTCCACACTTAAAGCTCGAGATCACCGTCTAAGAGTTTGACAACTGCCGGGAGAGACGCTTGTGAATGCGTTCACAGTCATTGTGGCCTGAACTCATTCGACTGATAGCTCCATTAAACCCTTCTGCGACCATGAAACATACCCTGAAATACACGGCAACTAACCTGGGAGCTCATGCAACGTGTTGATCGATCTTCCCACAATAGTCTGATGAAGTGCCTGCTCATCCGGCATCGGCCGTACGGCGATCGAACAATGACTTGTTCATATCCATCGCGAACCGAGCACTAGTGAGAATGCTACGATTCGTCAAGTCTTGGACTCGAAACGCAACGAGATGACCTCGAGAGGCACAGCGCGACGACAGAGTGAGACCTGTGTGACCAAGGGGCTGAATCAAACAAGATAGAACGTCATATTAGCATTTATCACAACTGATTTGGAATCTGCGGGATCCGAAGCGGGGTCCGAAGCGGTTACTGGTGTTCACTGCGGCACAGCAAGGCTGCTTTCATGGGGCGACATTACCTAGCCCGCATGACGTCAGAGCTGTCAGAACGCTGACTGATCGCAACCTTCGCCTTCGTCACAACAAGCATGATTGTTTCTTCTAAAAAGATAGTGTTTGCTGTTATCACCAGCTAATTCATCACTTTCCTTATCCATACGCGTCCGACTCACGACCTATATCCAGGCCCGCACTGCACATAATAGGAAGCCCGCGCTCGCTATGACTACTCCAGATGTACCCATCAACATTCTGTCCCTACGATTTGAAGCAGAAAGTCTGGCAACCAACAGGAAGTTTCAGCTGAACCGCAAACGACATTGTGACCTCGGCCACATCGTAATCACAACCTCAGAGGAAGAGCGCTCAGTGACTCTCTTCTGCGATGGCCTTACCACTACAAGAACAGGACTGGATTTACTCGAAGCACTGAGATCTGGTTTATTCGAATTGATGGAGTCTGGCAAGGACAACGCAAGTGTAATCAAGCCGCCAGCTGCAGCTACCCCATCCCAGATGGGCAAGTGCAACGTACCCCCCAGGTCATCGCCACAGCGTCGGCAAGTGTCATTCGACATCCTCACTGATACCACACATGCTGCATGGAAAGATGTGTTGCAGCCCGGCCAAACCTACGGGTTACGACTATCTAAAGATAACGGCCAAGTGTATGCGTGCTACACTGACGAATTGGACGACCTATCCGAGGACGGATCATCCGCTCAGAAGTATCCCGTTGGCCGTGAAGGTGACACATATTACTTCAGTGTCCACGACGATCCAGCGCCTCCAAGGATCTTTGCCAGATTGGAGATGCCCCACCAAGCACATCTTACTGGTCCAATACCCTTCACCTTCATCATTGAGTACACGACCAACAGTCTTGAGCCATTTGTGGTTGACAAATCTCGTACCCCGGTCTCGGTTTTTGAACAAGATCTGAAATCGATTGGCCAATTGATCGATTGCCGAGACAACGACACCGGGGAGAAAGTATCATGGGGCGCCTCTTTCATCTGCTATGACTACGATCCTCATCCGTTGTTCCCGGACGATGATGACTTTATCGAGATCTCAACGGACAAGCCATGGCGATTCGAATGCACACTGGGGAATCTAGACAACGAGGAGGAGTACGTGCGCAGCATGGAAGGGCTGGAGGCTGGTCGCACGTACAGGGCTCAGTTTGCTGGGCATCGCGACTTCGGTCGATGGCAGTATGGAAGGAAAGTGGATTTGCTTTCCGGATCACGAGAAGAAAAAATGAAGAGGTGGGACGTAGACATGGAGAAGTTGGGGTACTTGGATATCGAGAGGCTCGGGGAGGATGTATGTTTTGGGACTGTTGCATAAGTAAGCAGTCATTTTCATTGCGACAAACAATAGTTTTTTGAGGAGCTCAGGCTAAAACTTGTAATGATTTCCTTACTTCAAATCCTACGCCTTCAAACTATCAGCATACTCCCTATATATCTGCTCGCAACTCTCATCAAACAACAACCCCATCCTCGTCGCATTCCCAAACTCTGCAGTCTGCGGCCAACTATCTAACAACCTCTTCGCTTCCTCATCCACCTCCTCCCTCAACAGACTCAGCTTCTCCTTCCCAACTACCGCCTCAAACGCCGCATACATATCTCCGAGCGTGACGCTGATTCCCGGCATGTACACCGCGCGGATATGCGAGGGCATAGCATCTGAGGGGGCCTTCATGACGCGCACAAAGTTCTCGATCATGACGCGTGGCGAGCAGATCATCTGGCGCGCTGAACGGTCGCTAATGGGCACGATGCATTCGAGTCCGGCTAGCGGCTCGCGGAGTAGGCCGCTTAGGAATGCTGCTGCTGAGCGCGAAGGCGCGCCTGGGCGGACGACGACGGTCGGTAGGCGTACTGAGAAGGCATCGATTAGGCCACGGCGGTTAAGGTCATCGATATGCTTCTCCATGATGGCCTTGTGTGTGCCGTAAACGCCTATCGGTGTCGCGGGGGTATCATCTGTGATAGGCCCTGTTGCCGTGTAGGGTGGTCCATACACAGCCTGGGTGGAAGCGTAGACAATGCGGGGTTTAGTCGCTTGTTGTAGTTTTGAGATGGATGTAAGAACAGAAAGCGTGGCGTCTAGGTTGACCTTGGTGGAAAGCGCGGGGTTCTCTTCGCAGCCGACGGACATGATGCCGTGGAAGAGAAAGATGGCTGACCATTGGGGGCGCATGGAAAGGAGTTTGTCGATGTCTGATTGGGAGGTGAGATCTCCGGCTGTGAGCTCTAGGTTGGTTGCCGACTCTGAGATGCCGGCTGGTCGTTGGGGTGTGCGTAGGTCGGTCAGGACGATGTTGTTTGAGGAATCTTTTGCCAGCTTGGCGGCGAGCATAGGGCCCAGGAAGCCGGCGCCGCCCGTGATGAGGATGTTGTTCGACATTTTTGGTGGTTTGCTCTTCAAAACTCTTGGATCAGGTTTGCGGTGATCAGAACTTCGATTTTGGAGCTCACGATATCGAGTTTAGAGCTATGCAATGCGAAGAAGAAGTTGAGGGTATATTGCTTGCACAATGAAGAGGTAGGCGATGATAATGCGATGAAGATGCAGCCAGCTGAGCATATATACGTGACAGTGTTGCGGGGATCGAGGCGAGTCATGCTCGTCTCGAGGCAGACCTGCTCGCTACGAGCCACAACCCAGATGCGCTAGCCCCAGAGCCTCCGGGAGCCGCATCTTTAGCCTGGGGAACCCCACATAGTGGTCTTTTACGGCCGCTCAGCCATATACAAGCAGGATGCCGGCGGTTTAGAAATGGCTCTATGGATGGCTGTTTGAAAATCCCCACTGTGGTATGTTTTCGCCAGCTTTTTGCCCATATGCCACTCATTAGCGGCGCTCTGCAGGGTTTGACGCGCCTGCGGAAGAATTCGTTGTCTGAAGCGTTACCCCTCTCGTTCCTTTGGCTATGAAATAGGACGTATAGGTATAAACGTTGAGATGACTAATAACACGGACTACTCTGTCGCAGCAACATCAAGTCAATACGGCATATATTGCGCTCACGAGAAAAAGTCAATGACAAGCGCATTGAACATCTCCGGCTTCTCCCAATAACACCAATGACCACCCCAGTCCACCGTCACTCCCTTTGCGAGTCCTTCCTTTTCGCCTCCATTCACCAGCTCCACCACTTTGAGCGGTCCCGCAGCCGGGAAACATCCACTTCGGCTACTTGCTACGACCAGTACCTTCGTTTCACTACCGCTCTCTGGTCCGAAAGCATGAGCGATAGGATGTCGCCAATCGTTCGCCGTATGATCAGCCATTAGTTTTCCATACCACCACCCATCGCCTTTCAGAGCCTCAGCGAGGAAGAAAGCTTCGTCGTCTTCCCACTGTGCCGAATCCAACTGAGGGTCTCGGGGTCGCGGGTGGGATCTGTAGCCTAAGCACGCTGCGATAGTACCCAGATGTGCCTCATTCGGGTTCGCAATCAGTGTCTTTTGCATCGCGTTCAGTGCTTCTAGATTGTTGCATCCGAGATTGCCGAACTCAGGACCCCAATCCTCAAGATAATTCTGCAATGGAGCTTGGTCCACGAAAACCACGTGTGAGAACGCACCAGTCGTGAACAATTCGCTGTAGCTCCATAGGATAGCTGCACCTAGGCTCGTGCCTATGGCTTTGATGGTACCGTCGCGGAAACCGAAGAACTCGATCAAGTTCTTGAGATCCATTGCTAGGCGTGCCACGTTATAACCGGCTTTTGGTTTACCGGAGTCGCCGTGGCCGCGCAAATCGGGAATGATGACATGATGAGCTTTTGCGAGTGCGGCAACGTTGCGCTTGAAGACTGCGCCTGAACCCGTGAAGCCGTGCAGCTAGCGACCAATGTCAGGCCTGGTGGCGGTACGCGCTCGATGGCGGGGAGCTCACCAAGATCAAGGGAGCGGCACCGGGAGAGCCATATGTCTCGTAGTGCAGATGAATACCATCGTTGGCTGTTATATCCGGCATTTCGGAAGGTCGACACAGCGGGGTGAGTCAATAAGATGAAGGTATGCATAGAGCGTAGAAAGTGTTCGCGATACTTAGTAAGCGCGATCCTGTCGCAATGAAGTTTAGCGTCCGAAAGGCTCGGGCTTGTCGCCGCGTACCTTCCAAGGTAAGCGCGCGTCATCACAACACTCCAACGCCCACCCACAACCATCACGGTCTACAATCTTCCTCGCACGTCCACCTGTCTTCGTAGCGACTGCTTCTTAGTTCATCTTCATGCTCTGAGACGGCTCAGCGCTGGCGATCCGGCCCCATCTAACACACATTCCGTGACAATCGCACGGCAGAGAAGTTCACCGTAACTATGAGGAGATTGTTCCCGTACCCGCACGATGTTTCCCTACAGACTACCTTGTCGTAAACGCCTCCAAATCTTCCTGTGCCATGTAATCTCGAGGCATTCACACGTACTCATGCTCACGTCTGCACTTCACATCACATAATTTGGTATCATCTGTCCTTTAACACGGGGACGCAAATACCCTATCGATCAGAAGCGGCTGCCTTCTTCACTTCCATTCGAAACGGATCAAGCCTGGTCGATCCTAGCTTTCAGCGATAAATTCGAAGACAGACGCTATCATACCCGGCTACTTTACTGACAAGAGCGCAAGCTTCACCCCGATGGCCATTGGAAGTACAGCAAACCTGCGACCGTTACATCAAGTTATCATATGACAAAGAAAGGTCGCACTGCTGCCTTGAGCTGCTTCTGCTGCGTCGAATGATATGTTTGTGTTGACTTCCTTCGTCTCGCTCCCACGCGCAACGCACAGAGTAGGTGGTACAGGGAACACAAGCTCTTGTGTTGACCATAGTTCTCTTTTCGAGAGGACCTAATTAAATGGGTACATATGAATTTCGGAAGTTGTGAGTCGCTCGTCCTCGTAGCGTCACCGCAGTACCATAGGACGAAGATTACAGGGAACACAAGGGCGTTGTTGCCTAGTAATAGGCAACCCTCCCCCCAATCAAGTTGGACTACTCGCGAGTACACGTGATAACGTGTCATCTTCAAGCTCTTTCGACTTTTGCATATATAACGCGCTCTTGCCTTTTACTCACAAACTCTACGTACACAGACTGCAGATATGGCTAGCAACGACCGTGACGACGCTCAGGCGGCTGATAACAATCCGATTGAGCCTATCGTTAAGGCTCTCCAGGATATACTTACACATTCCACGTACGCGTGCGGCGGCTCTCTCAGCAGCCCGGATGACGCCAACATCCGCCCTAGCTCGGCGATCACCATCCGCTGGGACTCTTCAAGCGCCATCGAAAAATTAATCCTACCTCTCCAAGTCGGCAGTAAGGGTGAAGTGGATGGTTCACTTGCGAAGCTCCTCGAAGGCACTGAGCCTGCTGGATTCGGATACAAGGGCAAGGACATCATCGACGAGTCGTATCGCAAGGCCTCCAAGCTCGACACCTCTGCCTTCTCCACCAACTTCTGTCCCTATGAGACCGGCATCATCGATGTTGTTGCGCAAGCGTTACTTCCGCTGTCTCCGGATCAGTCACAGGGTGTTCGAGCAGAGCTCTACAAGTTGAATGTGCGCGCCTTGTCGCTTCCTCCCATTCCAATGATCAAGACATGCTGACAGTCAACTCAGGTATACGGAGCACCGTCAGGTCTGTTCAAGCCACACGTCGATACGCCACGTTCCGAGATGCAATTCGGCTCACTCGTCGTCTGTCTGCCGTGCGCTCACGAAGGAGGCCAGCTCGTTGTCCGCCACAAAGGCCATACCACTACGTTCGATTGGTCTGGCGACGCCAACGTTGCACAGTGGGCAGCTTTCTACAGCGACTGTGAGCATGAGGTCCTCGAAGTCACTGCGGGTCATCGCATAACCCTTACATACAACCTCTTCGTGCGCCGAGGTCTTGGCGAGCTTGCAGGACACGCCGACGCGCTGGATTTCAAACAGCTGCCGCTCTATCGCGAGGTGGCGAACGCTTTGAACAGTCCGGAATTCATGGCCAAAGGTTTGTGATAAGCTTAATCACTGTGGGAACATCACTGACATCATTCCAGGCGGTTACCTCGGAAAGTACTGCGATCATGCATATGCTCACGCCACCAATGAGGGCTCGATGGCTCTACCTTCCCTACTCAAAGGCTCAGATTTTATGGCATATGAGGTATTTCGCTCGCTGGGCATCAAGACGCGCGTTCGTCCCGTACTTTTGACTTCGGGAGAAGACGAAGAAGACGAAGAAGACGACAGCTCGGAGAACCGTACCGATGAAGATGACGACCAAAAGCACCTACAATTCGCGCGTATCGGCAAGAAGCTCTCAGCCCCCGTCATGTCAAGTGTTGGTGGCGACGAGGATGACACTTGGAGCGAGATCTACGCCCAGTACCCCCACGACAGACTTCATGTCCGATGGTTGAATCGTCATACTACAACTAATCTGCAGTTTGGCTTCCTCGCAGTGAGTAGTTTCACGCACGCGCTCTTGAACTTCTACTGACCTTTTACACAGTACGGCAATATGGCAGACATCAACTACTCCTACAGCTCATGTGCTCTCATCTTCGAGATACCTACTTACCAGGAGCGGTGCAAGGTAATTCAACCCACCGGACTCGCTCGGCGTATGGACCGAGGCTGCTGTGGAGCAAGTTAATGAAGTAGCGGAAAACTTTCTGCGTCTTCGAAAGTTCGGATTATAGATGGAAGGTCTTCGCTAGGGTCAGATCAGTAGTACGTGTTATCAGGGTCTTTTTTACTGCAAGGATTCTTGTTGGGTTGGACCGGTGTGGTTAATCTTGCAGCGCTCTAGCCGTCCTTCAGAAAGCTTGTACCACATCTGTCTCACGACATCATGATTCTCCTTCTACATCCTCATGCTTTGCCAACTCCAGGTGATGAGTGAGCCATTCTGAACAATGTGATTGTCAAACAATGCATGTTCAGTCACACTGTCATTCCTTTCACTCTTACTTTGTCTCAACGCACGGACGCCATTGTTCACACTATTACATCACTTCCACTCTCACGGTACTAGTGTCTAATACAGGGCGCGACACTCGTAGTGGTCGATACCTTACCGCGGCCAGCGTACGCTCAACCCGCTTGCGCTCCACCCCAGGTTATCTTACCCGCGCAACACCATCGCACGCAGCCCGAAAGCACTGGTCAAGGCTCGCCACACTCGATCGACTTCCTTGTATAATCGCCCGCTTTATTGCGCGTATCCAGTTCTCTTGAACCAGAGTTATTGATCTGGTCTTGGACGATATACCATAGTCTCGCTTATACCATTGCCATTAATATATGTAAGTCAGAACTTACGCCGGTGATGTGAAGCACCCCTGACAGCACTTAGTCGCACCCTCACTGCGAACCGCGAACATGGCTCCTCGCAAGGACGCTACCGGCAACGTCATTTTCAAGAAGAACAAAGGTCTAAAGAACCACAAGAAGGCGCAGAAAGAGAAAGCGCTGGCGAAGCGCACCGCCGCCGCCGAGAAGACTACCGCGAACAAGGCTTCGTATGCGCCGGTCGCTGCCATGGTTATCAACAAGACTGCACCTATAACAGGGGACGTTATTGGAAATGCAGGACCGGCGCCCATGGTAAAGACTTCTGCGCAGGTCATCGTGGAGTCGTCCGATCTTTCTCGAGACGAGTCGGCCACTGACGACACGGCGCTCACCAACATCGGGGTTCTTACTGGAACACACACCACTACCGCTACCAAGACCGCTACGCCGCAACCGCACCTCTGCACACATTTGCCCGTCGTTGTATTCGAAGACGTTCCTACTGGCTCCAAGAATAATGCTCCAACCAAGGTAGCCAGCAACCCAACCGAACTCGAGCAAGAGCCCAACAGTATATCTTATCCCAAGACTGCTCCCTCTCCTCTAACATTCAACATCTTGCAACCCAGCATTACCCCTTCTTCTCCAAAACCCAACACCACACAAATCAGCATGCTCAACCCCACCGCCCCAGCATTCCTCTTCGGAAAGATCGTAGTCGCCCAAACTCCACCCGTCTCCATCACCCTCACGAAAGAAGACACCGCCCCGGGATGGCCCACCGAAAACGCAAAAGCGTTTGAAAAGGCCTATGGCGTTATCGCCCTGCACAAAGCTCTGGAAGCCGGGCTGTACGAAAATATGGAGACGCCGCGCCAGAGGCTGATTCGCTGCAAGTACAGGGTTTCTGTTGACGCCGAGTTCCATCGGGAGGAGCCGGTGTGTGACTTGGAGTGGGCGTTGGCCTTGATTGGCAAGCCAGTTCGCAAGTGTTTTGACGATAACGGCTTCCACATCACGCCGATTAAGACGGGCTTGACTGAAGCCGATTTAACGGGTCCATCAGCTCTCGACGAATTATTCGCAAAAGTCAAGGCTGAAGGCATCTCCAAGATCAGCGCTCCCATCTCCACAGGTTACAAATCCCCCATCTCCGGTGCTACATCAACAAAGCCGCCAGTTCCGTCTCGTACCCTGGAGTCCATCGAAGCTGAAATGCGTCTCGCCGCCCCAAAACGCCCTTCCCACGCCCCCTCGTTCGCAGACCCCGGTATCATCAAGTACACCTTCAACGGCCAGGATTTCGACAACGTCGGCAACCCTCTCACAGAAACCGTGAGTCAGAAGGTACTCGGTTGGCTTGAAGACCAGCCAACTGATCCACCAGAACTCTCACCGGGTTCTTCGCGGCAGCAGAGCCGCGAGGCTTCGCCGCTTGAGCTGGGGAAGGGAAATGTGGCTCTGACGTTTTGTTCAAAGTCTGAGTCTGAGGGAGGACAGGTTTGGCCTGCGCAGGAGAGCTTGCCTTGGGGGAATGGGAATATGCAAGATGGGTATACGCATGGGTCTGGTGTACCGGTGTATCCGTATGTTGCTTCTGTCGTTCGGGTCTCTGAAACCTTTCCTGGTTCATGCGGAGAACCAGAGTAGCTGTTGTGCGGAGTTTCTTCATGTTTCAATGCGTTTGTAATTTTATTGGCTGGATGGCCTTGTATATCATCACTACGACTTAGCGACGGCGTTCATGGGCTGGGGGGATGTGTTATGGAGCTGAGGGTTTTCATGTTGTGGTATCCTTCCGTAATAGTAATATCAGCATAATATCAATAATGCCTGGAGTCTACATTGCCTTCGTATCTGGTATAACATTGTTCGAGGGCTTGATGTAGGCTGCAAGACACCTGTTCAACTCTGCTGTGTATGAGGATGTAAGAAGCAGCGAGTATCATTCGGAGCAGCTGCCCAGGTGCCACTGAAGCATGGGCGTGGGGCTGGAAGGACCCATCGGGTCTAGACTGCAGGTGCGGGGAGGTGTTGCCGCACGGACTTGGGTGCCAGGGTTCCTGCAAGTAATTCGGCCAGCCGCAACGACCAAAGACTCCTCACATCGCTACCCAACATCGCTAAATAACGTCCAACTCCATACTTCGTTCTAGATACTATTTCTAGCACTACTCGTTATTAGTCATCATGCTCAAGTCAAAATGGGCTACCCAGCCTGGCGAGGCGGAGCAGTCAGGAGCGCCCGAGGTCACCGTCGCTCAACCAGAAGCAGCGCCAGCACAGGTATGTTGACTTATGCACTCCTTACCCCTGACCTCTTTCCTACTGTTGGAGTAGGTATCTGCTTCATATGCAAGACTAACTCCCGCCAGATGGACAACACGTCCTACGACCCCGCCTTCGACGATCCGTCAATAGATCCATTCGCTCAAACAGCAAGCACAGACGACCTGTTCTTCGACGACGACATCACGCCTATCGCCGAGCCAGTCGTTGAGCAAAACCCCATCGAGCTGCAAGCTTCCGCCCCCGAGTTCGTTCCCGAGGAGGTACAACCGCCGACCGCACCGCAAGCGCACCTCGCACCCCATGCGCCTCGTGAGCCAAGAAACGCCGAAAGAGGAGGTCGCGGTCGTGGTCGAGGAAGGGGCCGTGGACGAGGCCGCGGCGGGCACAACACCGACATTCGACTAGAAGAAAACGGCAAGAAGGCCCCTGAGGCTCCGAAGGAAGCTGCGCCGACCGCGACTGCCCCTACCGATGTCGCAGACAACTCAGCCCCGCCTTCTGCACCCACCGAACCCAAGGAGAAGACCACACATGCCGTGCGCGGAGACCGAGGCCTCACAGGCGGCCCTGCACGCACGCGCCTGACAGAAGAGGAGCTGAACACGAAGCTAGCCAACATGCGCATTAAGAACGAAGCCCGTCAGAGCGCCCATGCTCGCGCCGAGGCCGACAAGGGCAATTTCGAGGCACGCGAAGCCGTCATGCAGAAGCAGGATATAGAGCGGAAGAAGGCTCTCGCGGAGAAGCAGAAGGCAGAGCGCCAGAGTCGCCAACAGATGATGGGCGAACGCGAGAAGAACCGCCAGCGCAAGCTCAATGCCCAAGGGGGCAGGGAGTGGGACTTTGAGAAAGAAGATGGCTTCTCTGGCACTGGAGACGAGAAGCGACGAGGCGCTGCACGTGGCGCGCATGGTGGCATCGCACCCTCGAGACCGGTCGACAACGGACACAACGGAGGCGAAGAGTACCATGAGCCTGCGGGACAGTCTAGCCGCGGACGAGGCAGAGGTAGAGGCCGTGGCAGCAGGGGTGGCCGTGGCGATTACCGAGGATCCGATGAGAGGCCGGCAAACACTCGGGAAAAGCGCGACAACGTCCCGCCCTCGGCATCAGACTTCCCAGAACTACCCTCTGCCAAGGGCAAGGCACCTGCAGAGGAGAAGGCGAAGGAGAAGGTGAAGGACACAGACGATTTCGGCCTGCCATCGCCCATGGAGAAGGGACGCAGCTGGGCTGACGAGGTCGGCTCGTAGGAAGAGCAAGAAGAGCAAGAGCAGGAAGAAGCGCAAAGCTGGGTGACCCGATTACAAGAGCGACATCGGAGACAGCATGTCGCAAGCCTGTGGCTGAAGCGTCCGGTCGAGTACACTCACAACAAGCGGCCAGGTTCGCATCCCGCCTTTATGTCCGACGCCGAATTTGCGGCTCTGCCAGACTGGAAGGATGTGCAGTATAACAGAGCCTACAACACCGCGTATCGCCCGTCGCCTCTCAGCTCAATGTCGCCTCTCAGCTCGATTACTGATTAGCTGTCAGCAACACATGCACCAACGTCTCCACCTGGCTTCGCGCAAACCCCACACTTCGTAGCATCCTTAGACAATTCATCGCAAGTCGAAAGTGGCCCCGCAACTGTCGTCGAAGCTCTCTCGTCGTCAGCCACCCCGCATACCCCGGGAGCATGTGTCAACCCATCGCATCCGCAAGGAGCATATGTCAGCCCATCGCAATTGAACAGTGGTCAAACAACGCTCGTTGAACATTCCCCTGCGGCTCCAGTTGTTCCCCCCGTGGTTTCACGACTCAGGTCAACACTTCAGCAGCTTCGCCTTCTATCTTCAGCGTCGGCTGTGGTATTGAGGGACCAGCGGAGATATGCTGAAGTTGTTGAAATCGAAGGCCCGATAAGCCAGTCAGGCTCAATCGATTATGACATCTGCAGCGGTTCCGAGAGCGGTTCCGACGACCTTCACTTTGGAGATGGCCTTCCCCCACGAAACCCTACGCTGTCTACCATAGCGAGAACCCGAGACGGTCAAAGTCGCGCATGGATAGTCACACCAGGTCGCCTGCCAGCATCAGAAACTGCACGAGCGTATTTCAGCCACAGAGGCATCGCTCCTCAATACTCTCACTACGTCCAAACAGAGCCCTCTCGAGACAACATGATATTCATGCGTGGTGGAGCTGACTCAGAAGATCAGCTAGGCGCCCACAATGGCTCATCCCATACACTTCTCGATCCGAATGAGAGACCCAGGAGCCTACATGAGTCCTCAGCCTCATCACTCGCGCCTCCAGACCGCACTGAAGGCCGCAAGTCTGGTGATTCGAGGTTCACCGAGCTCATGAACGAGGATGGTAGTCGTCTGTATGCAGAAAGTTTGCGTCGTTCTGGGAGTCAAGAGTCCAGGGAACCTGAGGAAGTACCTACACCATCACCTTCGCTAGCGCCAACAGCACCGCCAACTCCTTCGAATCGCACAGCACAGCCCGTCCCTGCGGCGCACCAAATCACTCGCTTACCACCATTGTCGTCCCAGCGCCCGGCTAATCTGGTGGTTCCTCACGTACCGGCGCGTGCACGTGATCCGAATGCAAAGAGATGGTATGTAGGCTGCGACCCTGACGGCTGTTGTTATCTATGTGATGTGGATACTGGGTGTAGCTGTTCGGAGGCTCTGGTTACTGCTTGCTTGGGGTTCTGTCCTATGCAGTGATGGAATATGGGGGTTTAGTAGTGAATAATACATGAGTCTGCCGGCTACGTTGCTGTGTTTGATGTTGATGTGAAGAAGTTGATGTGCATGTAGCTATCAGGGTGTAGTGTGGATGTGTGGGTAGGATGTAAGCCAGGCGGTGACGTTGCGGCGTTTAGTGGGTATATTGAGGGGATTGATACGATGTATCCGCCACACTATCTGTTGCCGGATACATCCACACCTAAGCTAGACGACGACGTTGTAGTCTTAAGTCTTTACACGACGTGGAATCATACAGCGTATCCGCCACAGTACACCTTACTCGATATATCTACACACATGCTACAAAGCGACATTATAGTATTTGGCATACATACCGTATAAAACCACCCAACCCATCCACCACGCCCTAACCCCCCGGATCCACACATACACCCGCCAGACCGCGACCCTGTCGCATCTAGTGCATAAACCTCGCAAAACCATACCGCGTATACGCCACGCGTAACTCCACCGCACCTGTCCGTACATAAGCCCGACGGTAACATCGTCGTGTTACGCATGCACAGAAAGGTGGTATCGCACATGTATCCGTCTGGCTTTAAGGGAAACTAGAGGTATAGTGGTATAGTTAGGCATCTACACGTGAATACGTGAATAAGATAGAAGCTAGACCGACGGCGAGGTTGTAGCGTTTACCTTGTGTTTGAGATTGAAAATTGCACGTGTATTCGCTTGGCTCTAGGATAGGATATTCAGCAATGTGAACGGGACTTGATGTCTTGTCGTTGTTAGCTACTACTCTGTTTATACAAACATCTTCTCCCTAGATCTAAAGAAGATGTAAGCCAGACGGTGACAGTGCAGCGTTTACTCTTACATTCTATTTAAAATCGTACAATGGAGCTACTAGGCTCTGGTACATATCCCGCGGTTGACGTATAATCCCGGGGGGAAATCACAGCCTGTCTACGTCAAAGTATCTATTAGCGATGCGTTTAACCAAAGAGTATAAAACAGGGAAATGCACTATGGGGACAGGAACTATAATGGTAGCTAGAACACGTATGCTTCAACATTCCGATCAAGCACGCATTAGGGGTGGCGTAGGCAAGCTACAAAGGGCAAATTGTGCATCACTGTTGAACGTCAACATGAACGTCTTACATTTGCACAACATATGATCAAATTAATCCCATAGCGTAAATCATACCAGCCTACATTCAAGAGCCGGAAGACGGAGCGACAAACTACATCATCACCCCTCCCCCTCTCTCTCTCTCAACCGCCATCCCTCTCCTCCATTCCTCACCCACCCTCATCATCAGGTAAAGCCAAACCGAGACAAAAAACGCCATCCATGCATCCCAAACCTCAATGATCCCAAACCCACATCTTTAAAACATACTACACCAATCACTTCCCCAAGAAACCAAGATACGCCTAGTCATCGCTATCATACTCGTCGTCCTCAGCGAGTAGCGCAGGGTACTGGCGTCTTCTTAGATCCTGTTCGAGCCCGCCATCGCTTTCAGGATCGACATATCCGCCTCCGCCTACAAGCGACAGAAGGACAGGGAGGAGAATAAGAGCGTGTGTTGAAGCCCAAAGAACGAGGGCGACCCAGACGCGGAAGTAGTATATCTCGAAGATCTG